ATGAAAGAAAAGAAAATTTATTTGCGAATAACTAAAAAATAACACACTTTTCACTCTCCAAACAGAAAAAAATGCAATCGGCCCTAATGAAGTTTTCACTTAAAAAACTTCATTTTCGAATATTAAAATTATTTACAGGAATTTTAAAAATCTTTCGTTAGTTTACATTTTTATTTATGTTGTAAATTCTTTTCAGCAGGAAAATTAAGGATATTTTTTTAGTATACTAATTTCACATATCAATGTTATCTTGTCTTTTTTTTTAAAGCCCCGATGAAGGTGTGAACATTAGGCCGAAACGTCGGCAATGATAAATATAATTTATTTATTTTTACTTTGTTAATTTTTGACTAAAGTAAACTTCTCTTCAATAAATAGCTGTGCATACCTGACATTTATGCTGCTAGAAGTCGATTTATGAATTCCTACAAAATCGCCCCCCCTCACTCCTCTCCGCTGAGAGATATAGCCCACAGGCGAAGTACCTCAAGCATATTAAAAGCTTGGGACTTGGCATATATTGCGAAATATCTGAAATTCGAAGAACGGAATCAATGAAATAGTCTGGTTAGGTTTACAATTTTCATATAGCTATCACGTTGGTGAACTTATATATAATTTTCAATCTATCTTATAAAATAATAAAAATAATTCTTATATATATGAAATAGATAAAAAAAAAAAAAGTCCATATCCATAAATTAATATAATCCAGCGATCTCTGAATGTACTAAGGATATGCGGGATTTAAAACGACAGTTTAAAATTTTCAACATCTGTAATATGTCCTTCATGGTGTAGAAAAACTTAACCCACTCTTTCCAATTCGAACTACTGTGAAAGAAAGTTGCGATTGTAACAGTATTGGGTTCAGTTGAACTTGGTTTAACATACCTTCTTCGGTCGTTTATTATAAACAAATTTTGAACTGGGTTCAAATGGTAACCAACATTTTATTGTGGTACTCTGAGTCTCCTAAGAATAATTTGTAACTGCAGTGCCATTTGCCTGCCACAAAACACTCATTACAAAATTATAGAATAATAAAATTATGAAATATGTTAAAAGTATGTAATAAATACAAATAATGGATCTATAGGGTCATTGGAGCTTTGCTGTTTGTTTCCTCCTATATTCTTTGGTACGTACCGCTAATTTAAAAAAAAAAATTATATTTTTTTCAATTATTTTTTTACTTTCACTTACGTATATATGTAATACATAGTAAGGGTAAGTATTGCGATCGTGAAAATTTTCGAATCTTTATTTTCAACGGAAATACATGATTTGAGGTCCCCTGAGTTCAAATAACCAAGTGTCGCAAAATGGTCTGTGTGTGTTAACAGTCTAGCACATAAACGAAAAGTAGTACGAAACTGATATTAGGTATTTAAGGTTTTTATATGGGCCGGATGTGACGGCAACTTTTTCGTCAAAATCGGCTAACCAGTAGTGCCACTTTATATGAATGGTGAAACACATTTTATAATTTTCTCAAAAACGGCTCTAACAATTTTGATCAAACTCGGTGTTGATACATCGGAGTTGTATAATTAAATGGTCTTTAATATCATTTAGGTCTTATCCCCGTTGATGTCACTTTACAGGGCTTAAATGCCCAATGTTCATATATGTCTTCCACTAAAGTATCTTTAATATGGTTTATTTTAAAAAGCCAACTATTTCCCATTATTCAGAGTTACGCAAAAATGCTAAATATAACTTTTGAAAGAATTTGATAACTTAATAAAATAGAAAAAAATAAAATAAAAATACAGAAATACCTGCGTTGCTACAGACTGTAACGCCAAAACGAATGTACCGATTTCAATGAAATTTCGCTAAAGTCATTTTCTCGATACCCTTTAAATTTATCTATATAACATACTTCAACGACAAGAAGCTGGAAAAAAAAGTTACGAGTGATGTTAGAATTAAATTCCGAATTACTCAAAAAGTATACGTCTAAAAAAAAAAAAAAAAAAAAAAAATCGTTAAAATCGGACAATTAGGAGGAAAGATATGGTCTCTAGTTTTTTTTTCCCTGAAGAGGCGAAAATTTGGATAAATTTAAAATATATTTTTTAATTGTTGAGACTAAAAAAACCTTTTTTCTACAGATATTTAATAAAGTGTCTTTCCTAGGAACATCTTTCATAATAAATAAGTACCTAAAATTACCTTTATTCTCAGTTCTATATTTCAACACTGTAATCACCACCTCTGGAATCAACTTACTCATTGTCTGTATAGATAACTTGTTCAACTAAAAATATCACTAAAATGACATCACTCAAAAATGTTGAAATTGGAGTTAGTCATTCTGTGGTTTATAAAAGCAAAGAAAGTTGTGTAGTTTATAAAAGCAGATGGAGTGACTAAATTTTTATTGCCTGTCGTCGATATATTAAATAGACATTTTGTAATTATAATGGTCTTAATGACTTGTTATCTGTAAGCTTTAAGCTTTAGCTCCGTTGAAAATGCATTTCTAAAAATTTTATAATAGCCCAGCATTGGCAGAAAATAATTTCTATTCAAAGTAGATCGGTAAGTGAAAGTTGTGTGTTGCGCGCACCAGATTTTTCATTATCTTCTAGTAGCTCTTTGATATTTCCTGATAACTTCAAAGAGGTTCGAGTGGTATTGAATTTAATACAGCCAACTAGTAAGTGTTTTTACTGTCATTACAACCGAACACTCTTGGCAAATGACTGGTAGTTTTTACTGAAGATATTCATAAGAGTATTTGTAATGGTCAATTCGAAGGCGGCATAAAATAATTTCTTCCTGTCTGCAATAATTACATACAGATAAATAAAGTCGGTATGTTTAGTAATTTGCGAGTGTAAGCAATGTATCTGATCAGAATTAATTATTGATATTATTAGAATGACTAAAATAAGTAAAAGTCTCGAAAAGAGAATGTATTAATGTAGCAATCCAAGTTATAAATCCATGAGTCTCCAACAAATAACTGTTAACAAGCCAACATTTCGCCAATTCAGGTTTCATCAAGACAGCAAAAACAAGATCGCATATATGCAGAAAGAAAGAAAGAAAAAATACATTTGCTGCTGACATCTCACGAAGCCATCCAAATATATATTAAAACAAACAGGAGAGTAGAGTTAAATAATTATAATATTTAAATGATTTGGATTGTGCCATTTATAATGTATCTTTTATCTTGTAGTTGTTATCTTATTTTAGTAATATTAGTCCGTGTTACAGACTTTAACGAATTATTAAAATCCACCTGAAACAACGTAAATAGTTTAATCTCATCGTAACCTACAACTATTTTATTTACGAAAACTCTTGGAATTGGGGCGATTTCAATCTGGAGGGGGGCATACTTTGTCTATTTAATTAGTTACTAAAAACTTGTAAATACACATTTGCTTTCTATTTGGATCGTAAAATAATTTGATCACAAAATCGATAAAAAAAGGTGGCCTTCAAAAATATTGAGCCGTTTGGCGTGACCTACACTCCAAATTTTAAAAATAACGAGATTATAAAGGTCAAACGGCCCAGTATTTTTATAGTCAACCTTTTTTCTCAATTTTTTTTATTAAATTATCTTAAAATCTAAGTAGAAATCAAATTGGTATTTACGACTTTTTAGTAGCTAATTACCAGCCTGGATAGCTCAGTCGGTAGAGCATCAGACTTTTAATCTGAGGGTCCCGGGTTCAAGTCCCTGTTCGAGTGGTCATTTTTTGACGGGAGTGGGGTAGCTCAGCGGTAGGCCCCTTAATTAAATAATTAATTAAGGGGAAAAACCTGGCGGTTGAGCGTGATCTCGGTCAAATCACCTCCTAGAATCGTTGACCTAGAAACAGTGCTTTCCCCTAAATAGTACTGAACCCAAAGACCCTTCATGGGTTGTAGCGGTACAGGATTTTTTTTTCTTTTTTTTTTTTTTTAGTAGCTAATTAAATAGACAAAGTTAACTCCCTCCAGATTGAAAACGCCCCAATTCCAAGAGTTTTCGTAAATATAATAGTTGTAGGTTACGATGACATGAAAATATTTACGAAATTTCAGGCGGATGTTAATAATTAAAAAAAAGAGGTCTGTACCACGGACTATATTCTTGAGTTGTTCGGAAAATATCGTAGGATTTTGAGTTTTTGTTTAAAATACCACTCTATATACTAAACTGTTTACGTTTACTGGATTATTCATTTGTAAGAATGTCAACACTTATTAATTCTCTTAATATAATGTTTGTTCACCTCTGCAGCATTTTGCTGCTTAATTTTTTTTTTTTTTATCAACGAAATTCACAACTGTAATTAATACAACAAGTAAATATGAACAAGTAATATGACATGTACAACATGAGGAGAAACTACCCATTGGTAGCACTCCAATTATATTTCTATATTAGAAGGTTCCGAGGCCATCTTCTTTTTAGACGCCTCGGAGGGTTATCAGGAATAGAGGAGGAAGCAAGTTTGGAAACGAGAGGGTTCGGATGGTTCAGAAGTTTATTATGAAAGGACAGGTATCTGGATTGAGCTAAATCGGAAACATATGGTACATTAAGGTCCTTATGGATGATTTTATTTGTGACAAAGTAGGGAGCATTAAGGATTTTGCGGAAGGATTTTGGATTGTAGGAATTGGATACGAGAGGAATTTGATGGATTAGTAGAGCCCCAAAGCTCGATCCCATAAGTCCAAATAGGCCTTATTATAGTAATATATATGAGTCTTTTGTAAATAGTTGGCAGTTTAGAGCGTTTGTCTAGTAAGTGCTGGAGTAGTCGGAAACGTCGGGCGGTTTCTAGTCGTTTCAGTCTGGTATGGGGGTTCCAAGTGAGTCGTTTGTCAAGGTGGAGTCCTGGATTTGGTCAACAGGGATACGTGGGGTATTGTTAAAGGATACTGTAGGACAGGAAGTCATAGGTTTACGACGTTGCTTAAAAATAATTCAGTCTTTACTAAGATATCAACGCCTAATTTTTCCAGGCGGCCAGAAACGTCAATCAACGCTGTGGTAAGAATGGCATTAATGAGCTCACTGTCCAACCGTGGATCAAAAAAGTTCGGAGGACTTCAGTCTTGAAGATAAAGGAGGTTTTGGAAGGACTTCCTCTCTTGATGACGATGTTCTGCTGGCTTTGAGAGAAGAAACTGTTCGAGAACTTGCAGAGAAACTTAACCTCAGCAAATCGACCCTCGATGACCACCTCAAGGAGATGGGAAAGGTAAAAAATCTTGAAAGTTGGGTTCTATAAACCTTAAACGACTGCCAAAAAAAACAAACAAACAGCGTAATGAAGTTTGTGCTACACTTCTTTGCCAAAACAAAAACGACCATTCTATATCCAGAATTGTTACTTATGATAAAAAGTGGATACTTTACGATAACAATAAACGTTCTGGACAGTGACTCGACAAAAGAGAAGGAGCAGAACATTTTCTAAAAAAACTCATATAAAAAAAAAGGTAATGAAATGAAATGAAAATATTTTTTTATTATCCTGGGACTGTTGTCCCTTTAGGACAAATTACAGATACAGATGCCTGTCTGGCCATAGATAAAATTAATTATTTACATTTATTATTAAGATTAAGATTTTGAAAAAATAATAAAACAAAAAATATAACTATTACACTAAAAACATTTTCATATGTATAATACAAACTATATAATAAAATAACATAGCATAAGTAAAGAAAATAATTTCTGGGTGGTTACTGTTTGGTTGGCTTTATTTCGTTTGATACACCACAGCTTCTTTATTGTAACTAAATCAATGCAATGCATCAGGAATTGGCAATAATGAAGCCATTTTTGGTCAATCAGAAGGGGTCCATTTTGTTGCCTGACAACGCCCGGTCATAAGTGTCACATGTGACGTCACAAAAACTGTTGGAGGTGGATATGAAGTTCTACCACATCCACCCTACTCTCTGAACATTTCACCCACGGATTATCATTTTTGTTAAGGGTTATCATGAGTTTATCAATTCTAAAGATGGAAAATTCTATTCCTAGGGAATAGACAAATTGCAAACACGTTAGCAGAAATGTATTGGTAATATAGAGACTATTTTGGTTAAATAAAACATATCATGCAGAGGAACCACGCTGCAGAGAAAGAAGACATTGGATATTCAAGCAACACTAAATTTATCAACTATAAACGAATTTCTGGAAAAACGAAAAAAATCATTTTTCGAAAAATCCCAACAATTCGCAAACCCTCTTTACAACAACTTATTACCAGCCCAAATTCCAAAACGTTGACAACAAATCTCATGAGATATATGTTTTATTAATTTAGTTGTAAGCTCTAGAGGATAAGGTCAACTCAAGCCTGAGGTGAGCCCCATCACCTTTATATTGCAGAGGAAGAACAAAGTACTCATAAACGACAAAAAAATCAAAAAATACACCTTACAATGCTTTTACGCAGTAAAAGGACTACTATGAAAACAAAGAAAAGGCTCCAAGTGAAAAATAAATAAAAGGGGATATGAAAAAAAAAAAAAAAACTAAGACATTTGAATATTCCTTTATTGCCCGATCCCCTGCCTTCTGGAATTCCTTGCCATCTGATATCTGCCATGCCTTCCATGTCCACATTTAAATATCATATCTACCAATTCCTTCTGACACCCCAAAATGACGTTATACAATGAAATAAATATTGCGAAACAGATTTTGACTTAGATGAATGGTTGTTAAAATTGATTGAGTTTTAATTTTAAAAATCAATCCATGCTTACATTATTTTGTTTTGTTTTTTAATTTAAATGTTGTTGTTTTTTTCAAAATGGTGTTATTTTTACTTGTGATATACTTTTACTGTATATTTTCTTTAATATTGATTAATGAAATTTATGATCAGATGTAGTTTTTATTTTTTTGTTTATAACTGTTATTCATAAGAGACCTCGTTCCAGAATAAAGTTTACTTTCTATCCATCTATCTATGTATTTGGATAGCTTGGTGAGATGTCAATAGAATATTTTTTTTCTCGTTATTTCTGCATATATGTGATCTTTTTCATTTCCGGTGATACCTGAATAGGCTAAACGTTGTCATATTAACTGTTCACCTATATGTTAGAGACTTACGGCTTTATAGTTTGGATTGTATTATTAAGATGGTTATATACTTCATATAATGACTCGAGCATAGCGAGTTCTCGCACTACCATGGAAGTTAATGTTTTCAAATGTAGCACCCACTCGAGAAAGGAGTATTATGTAATACTACATAATCTTTCATATATGTTATTATGTAATACTATACTATTATTATATATATATTTTATATATATTATATAAATATTCTTTATTTAATTAATCCTAACCTGTTTTTCGGGGGCGTCCTTGTTCTTGGAGGGCGGTGAGATTAGCCTCTCGCAGTAGCACCCTTCTAGCATCACCACCCCAGATGGCCGGGCGCAGCTCTCTGAGTCGTAATAGAACAGCAAGTTCTGCGAACATAAAAGATAACATATATATATATATATATATATATATATATATATATATATATATATATATATATATATAAAACATAAAACATATAAGAAAGTTTTTTTTTTTTTAATTTCTTTATTGAGTATTATAACAATCTGTCTGTTGGACATTGGTTATAGTGAGGTAGGATGACATTCACACCATATGTACAAAAACATAAAATAAATAGAACAAAATAATAATCAAAAGTATATACAATAGACAATAAAATAAAATAACCTAAAAAATAAGAAAATTAAAACTAAGGAAAAAAAAAAAAAATAACATGCATACCTATATACAATCAGGCGAGGGAACTACAGGAGAACCCTGCGCTACTCTTCCAACCGCGTCACTGGTACTAAAGCCAGCGGAGATTGGTCGAGAGCACAATATAAGAAAGTAAAAAAAAAAATAATAAGAAGAAGAAAACAAAATCCATCCATACAACAGGAAATGCCTACATGGGAAATCGCCTCCACAGTAGACGAATTCAAGTCCAAATAGAGCTTTCCTCTCTCTTGAATATTGAACTCTTTCAAAGAACTGAGAATATTGAAATCCCGAAAAATCTAAAAAATTTCAAATCAAGAAATATATGGCTGCCAGGGCTGGACATTAACCAGCGCTCTAGCTAGGAGAATTGAAAGATTTAGGAGAAAAAGTCTCCTTATTTTTTTTTTTTTGAATCCATGGACAACATTATACTAGAAGATACATTGAAGATGATAGTTTTAAAATAATTATATCAACTATATTATTTCATAAATTATGTTCTTCTCTTTAAACTTAAGACTATACTTCCATACACCTACTATCTTATACTTCAATCTTTCCTCTTCGACAGATTTTTTTCAGTTCGGCAGGGCTCGGAAGTGTCTTCAGTCCGTCCAATCTTGGCCGGAGTTCCCCAAGGTTCAATACTAGCCCCTCTACTTTACGTTATATACACTTACAATATACCTATAGACGATGAGATCTTGACAGCTACATATGCAGACGATACAGCAATCCTCACAAAACATCAAGACCCTACACAGGCCTCACTAACTCTACAACATCATTTGCTTAAACTACAAGATTGGTTCACACTATGGAAAATTCGACTTAATCATGACAAATCCAAACATATAACATTTACTCTTCAAAAAAACACCTGTCCTCCAGTTTATATTGACAACAATCAAATTCCTCAAACGGACACGGTACTTTACCTTGGACTCACCTTCGACAGAAGGATGACATGGGGCCCGCATGTTAAAATGAAACGCATGACACTTAACAAACGACTCAAACTACTTTACTCTCTTTTTCTCAAATCTTCAAAACTAAAACTAAAACAGAAACTGAATACATATACATACTTACTTAAGCCCATATGGACATACTCATCACAAATATACGACATCGCTAAAAAGACCCACCTTCAAAAACTTCAAACGTTCCAATCAAAATTATTGCGACTCATAACAAAAGCATCTTGGTACGTGACTAACAAAACTCTACATACTGACCTCCACTTTCCAACAGTTGACCAACATATAACGACCCTATATCAACGATTTTACAGTAATTTAATTGGACATAATAACAGACTTATAAGAGACATGGCCACAGCTGACATACCTCAGAACATGAGCAGGAGACTAAAAAGGCGTTGGATGAGAGATCTCCTTCCTTAGACAACCTAAGTAATTGGAACAAGTTAGGGAAGAGGTACTGCTGAGTACTTTCCTTCCCCATGCCTGTCATGTCATTATATCATTATCGCCATCACATTTGCTGATCGTCAACTTATTGTTGACAGGCGCAAATATATATTTTATAGACAAAAAAAAAAAAAATCTGTTTAAAGTAGTGGAAATAGTGAAGTTTGTGTGATGTTCCCGAGAAAATCCTGACACCGACAGACAGACCAATGACTAAAGATGTATTTTTAGAACTCAGGGAGCTCTGAAACGTATAGAACCTCCGAAAACCTCATATCGGAAATTTAAACCGATTGCAATACTTTCCTTACAAAAAAGATTTTAGATTAAACATTTGTATGAAAAATTTTATTTCATCTGGGGGTGGTAGTTTGATTTTACAAGGGTCACAACAGTTATTTTTAGATCTAGACGTTTTTCCCTTGGTTAAAACATATGAATTATAATATTATTCCTTTATATTGTGATATAATTATAAACATTATGAAATGGAAAAAGAAGCACAGTATAGTGTACAATAAAAATATTAGAAGTGTTGAAATTGATGTTGGACTTATGTGAAGCTGGACAAGTTGAATTTATGGTTTACTACACTTTCCAACAGTTGACCAACATATAACGACCCTATATCAACGATTTTACAGTAATTTAATTGGACATAATAACAGACTTATAAGAGACATGGCCACAGCTGACATACCTCAGAACATGAGCAGGAGACTAAAAAGGCGTTGGATGAGGGATCTCCTTCCTTAGACAACCTAAGTAATTGGAACAAGTTAGGGAAGAGGTTCTGCTGAGTACTTTCCTTCCCCATGCCTGTCATGTCATTTTATCATTATCGCCATCACATTTGCTGATTGTCAAGTTATTGTTGACAGGCGCAAATACATATTTTATAGAAAAAAAATGTTCAATAAACTCTTAACTAGTGTAATTAATCACTAAAGAAACATTTTAATGCATATTGCTTCATAAGATTCATCTTTAGGGTTCTTAGTGGTTTTCATGCATTCTGTTGGTACATAGAGTGGATGTGGCTTTATCCTACTTCTCGACGACAATTCCTTCTTGTTGTTTCCAAAAACCCTCCCTGCATCTTAGAACTCCTTACTCTATGCTCCTCAATCCATTCTCTCAACAGCAGATCTCAACCTATAGATTTATATATCCCCTCCCATAAAACCACTTCCTTCAGCAAATCCTTCGTCATTCGTGATATCTCCTTCTGGAACTCCTTATCCATCTCAATACGTTAAACCACGTCCATAAACTCCTTCAAACAACTCCTATCCAAATAAAATATTTCTGGTTACGATGAGATGAAGCTATTCACGAACTTTCTGGCGAATGTTGATAATTTGATAAAATAAAAGGGATCTGTACCACGGAATATATGCAACTTCTGAGTGAAAACTCAATTTGTACAAATTCGTTAGTTAGAACCTTTTCAAACGAAGGCAACGATATTTCTGACAGCTATTCATTGACTACAGATAATGTATTTAGGAAAAGTGCACGGCGCGGTTTATACAGTACCCGCAACACAACACGGTTATGAGGGTTTAGAGAACCCGTTGCAGACATGTACGTAAGATTTGCTTCCTCACTATTAGCAATAATAATTAATAATTAATTATTTATAAATCCTTAATAACAATTAAAACGTTTATATATATATATATATATATATATATATATATATATATATATATATATATAACTATATATATATAAGTAAATTCTTCGTACGATAACTGGACCTGGGGTCAGAGTACTAACACATGGAGAAGAATGACCAAAGAAGAAGTGCTTACAGATCACGCTAAACGGATCTATATTTTTGTAGGCCACCTTTTTTATCGATTTTTTGGTCAAATAATCTTACGATCCAAGAGGAAAGCAAATGGTATTTACGAGTTTTTAGTACCTAATTGAATAGACAAAGTTTCCCGATCTCCAGATTGAAAATGACCTAATTCCGAGGATTTTCATAAATAAAATATATGTAGGTTTCGATGAGATGAAGCTATTTACGAAGTTTTAGGAGGATGTTAATAATTCGATAAAATGGGGGTGTGTACTACGGACTATAATATTATGTTTGAACACAGAACTAAACTCAAAATTTAACGAGAAACTCGCTAAGACTCTAATAAGAGATGCAGAGCAACAATATATCATATAAGTAAAAGATGATATAACAAAATATATGATAATAAGCCGAAACTTCCACCCCAATAACAGGATCTGCGTAGAATCAAAGGAGGAAATCGGGAGGAAAATCATTCCTGAAAGTAGAAAAATTCAAATACCTCGGCTCCACAATAACCTATAAATATAACTCTCGCAAACAGAGCTTTCTTTTCCCTTTGAAAGATATTGAAGTACCCAAGGAATCTCAAATACAGGGTGTACACTGCTATAAAGATAGCTAAAGCCAGTTCTAATATATGGCTGTGAGACCTGGACACTAACCAGAAGATTTGACAGAAAAATCCTCTGCATGATGACGAAGCGATCTGGGATCAGAGTACTAACTCACGGAGAAGAAACAAAAAAATAAATAAAAAAGAACTGCTTAGATAAACCTGTCAATCAATATCCCATGATATGAATGCACGGATGTTAAGATAGGTGAGGCATGTATCTCGTAGCAATCCATCTGGAAGCCTCTACTTAACAATGAATGCCTCATGGTAGAATAAACAAAGATGCAACAGAGCTGCGTTCAGATAAATGGAAAGAAATATCCCAAGACAGGCAGAGATGGAGCTGTCTTGTTAAGGCGGCAAAAGATCTACATGGTATGTAATAGCAACAGAAAAAAAAAAGAAAAAAAAAATATATATATATATATATATATAAATATATATATATATTTGTGCAGAAATTTTCTTGGCGAATAAAATAAATAAATAACTAAATAAAAGAAATTTTTTTTTGTCAATCACTAATAGTCCGCGCTATAGACCCCTTTTCTTAGCAAATTATCAATACCTGTCTAAAACGTAATAACATAAACGGACCTCAAATTTTCTTCTTATCATGACCTAAAACTTTTTTTTTTTTTTTTTTACACAAATCTTGGAAATACAACATTTTCAATTTGGAGACCGGTAAACTTCATCAATTTAATATGGTACTGAAAACTCATAAACACCTTTTTGCTTTCAATTTGAATCGAGAGATAATTTGATCATGAAATCGATGTAAAAGATGGCTTACAAAAATATTGAGCCGTTTAGTGTGACGTCTACTCCAAC